ATGGTTAGGTTTAGAGTTAGGTGTGTACTGGTAATGGTTAGGTTTAGGGTTAGGTGTGTACTGGTAATGGTTAGGTTCAGGGTTAGAGTTAGGCTATAGAAATGAATGAAAAATTAATAGAAGTCCATGCAAAGTCCTTGTAAAGAAAAGATAGAAAGACAAACATGTGCACGTGCATACGTGCACGTGTACCTGTAGGCTCTGTGCACCAGGTGAGTCAGGTCCAGCTGACTCTGCTGTGTGAGCGGGCTCAGGTCTTCATCGTGCTGGAGGAAGTTCAGCAGCTCAGAGGAGTTGGACATCCAGAAGGTCAGAGCACCCACGATCGTCTGCTGTCTCTGGAGGTCAAACACGTCAACATTAATAACACGTCAACATTAATAACACGTCAACATTAATAACACGTCAACATTAATAACACGTTAAAAGTAACGTACAAATATGAGAGCAGGTGTTTAAAACATATAATTACTCCAGAGCATCTAAGCATCAGCATGGATGGAGCTCTCTATTACTGTTTTTCTACATTTGTCTGATATCTCACAAAACGTGCAAAATATTCCCTCAAAGCATCTCAGTCCAAAATAAGCTACGACTTTTTTAAAATGTGACTCGACTTAAACCAAATTAAAAATATTAACCGTGAGGAAAACTTTAGTGGAGCTCAGTGGAAGCTTGACTTCTGTACTTCCTGTTTCCTTGTATCTCTTTTTGTTGCGCTTTGTTTCCTGTTTATTTTCTGTTTCTTGGAGTTCACTTTGTTCCTCGGCCTTCCCGTGTTCCTCAGTTTCTGCTCCTCTGTCCTTCACCTGTTCCTTGTTGTTTTCATCAATTCTGTGATTATTGAAACCTTTAAAGGATTTTAAACTCCTGCTTAATGTTTAATTTTGGTTTTTTTCCTCCCAAACTGTGACACACCAACTTTTCAATTAACTCTATTCTACAATCATCATTCATTGTTCAAATTATTCATATTTTTTTGTCTTTATTCACTCAGTGTTTTTTATTCGCCCGTTGAAGGCGGCTCATTACAAGACGGTCGGTCCGTCCGTAAACTTTCCCTTGTCCCGCTCGTAGCTTCAGATCCGTTCCAAGATAATTTAACAAAACATCATACACATCTACATCTTCTCTAGACGGAGTGTCATGTACACACTTCATCACCCCGTTTTAAAATCAAGGTCATAAATCAAGGTCAACATTTAAACAAGGTTTATTCATTCAACCTTTATGCTTGTAAAGTTCATTTCTATAGATTGCTGTTCAACAGATTGTTGTACAACAGATTGCTGTACAACAGATTGCTGTACAACAGATTGCTGTATACGACAGACTGCTGTATACGACAGGTTGCTGTACACGACAGGTTGCTGTACACGACAGGTTGCTTTATACGACAGGTTGCTGTACACGACAGGTTGCTGTACACGACAGGTTGCTGTACACGACAGGTTGCTGTACACGACAGGTTGCTGTATACGACAGGTTGCTTTATACCACAGGTTGCTGTACACGACAGGTTGCTGTACACGACAGGTTGCTGTACACGACAGGTTGCTGTATACGACAGGTTGCTGTATACGACAGGTTGCTGTATACGACAGGTTGCTGTACACGACAGGTTGCTTTATACCACAGGTTGCTGTACACGACAGGTTGCTGTACACGACAGGTTGCTTTATACAACAGGTTGCTGTACACGACAGGTTGCTGTACACGACAGGTTGCTTTATACAACAGGTTGCTGTACACGACAGGTAAAGCAAATGTTTTTTTAGGCTTATTTTTTAGTCTGTTTCTGTCCGCCTCTCATTAACATGGCAGTCAGGGAGTGACGTGTGTGGTTACCATGGTGATCATATCTCCGTGTTCTGAAGTGTGCATGTAGGTTCTGTCCTGTTGCTGTTATTAATAAAAACAACATTTTGTTGGCGTTTTGGGCCGTAGCTGTGTTGGATGTCGTGTAGTGGTCGTCTGCTGACGACTGAACCAACAATTACATCCTGTTTATGGCACAAGTGACGGAAGTTGTCATGCCTGGATAACGCTCCTCGTCATGGCCACCATTTTGTTCGTGATAGACGTCACAGGGTGCACGTTTCCTGTTGATGGAGAGCCTCGGCTGTCGTGGCAACGCAGAACGAACCGGCCTGCAGCGTAGAGGATGTACGCAGGCGAGAGCTTGAAATGGACTGTGGTGCTGTTGGTGTAATTTATGACTGCTGACAGGAAGGCCTCTTCAGCTGAAACGGTAAAAAATACAACAGGACGGGGCAAACGGACACAACACTGATCGCAACAAAACAAAGACAATAAAACGAGATGTATCTGCACGGAGAAGCTCAACGCTTCAAACTCCTCCTCCACAAGACCACGGTGTTCAAAATTTAACTGTTTATTTGAAAAACATAAACACAAACAATACGTGTACAAAATCCAGTTATAAATATAAAAAAACATTAAGATAAACGATAGAGATAAAAACAATCTGTGGCTCTATTTCTGCCGAAGCTACGAGAGGCCCTTTAGGCCATAATTTATGATGCATCCCCGCTCCTCCTCCTCTGCTTTACTTTACCGACCAATCAAAATTTAGTATAGCTGTTTCTAGGCAGATTTAGTTCTCATAAAGTCATTTAAACAAAATATGCATGTATATAACATATACATGTCATCTTATCAAATATTTATCAGACAATGTTAACACTTATTTCAATAGAAATATTTTTACTTTAGACAATTTTAACCTTAACAACCTTTAACAAACACAAGCAGCATTTAAGCTCCTACAGTAAAGTTTTATTTCACTCACCATTATCACTGATCTGGAGTCTGACGGGTAATTCAGGCTGTTTCTCTAGATGACAACAACAGAAACCTTAAAATGTAATTTACATTTCAAACTTTTAACAGAAATTATTGCACGTGTTGCCTTTGATGTCCGAGTTTTAAATGAAACCAGCTCATGTCTGAAATTATTGCAGTTGTTGCCGTTTTATTCCATTAAAAATAAAACCTCATGACATGTTGATGCTTCCATGATTTGTTAGTGCTTAGAATGCGTTGTGAATGACTCTCAGCTACCTCCACAGTAAATTGTATTTATTTTTTTATTGTTTTACTTTTAGCCAGTTTGGTTTTGGCTATTCCCAATTAGCTGTGGCCGCCATCTTGCATTAGATTGGCTCCCAAGGTTAATTAGGGTTAGATGTATCACTAAAAAGTACTTTTGGAAAATTGCATTGAAGCCCAACCACTGACTGAGTTATAGTCATTACTGTTTTCTAATATTAGTTAACTGTGGCGGCCATTTTGAATTACTTTGAGCTGAAAGGCAAATCATCTAAACCCAATGATTAATTTGTGGAAATGCCATTAAAATCTTTACAGTAGTTCAGTAGATTTTCTTTTCAAACCATCAAAGTTGGTCCCAGTAGTTCCTGGAAGAGGTTTTAAAAACAGATTTTATGTGATCAGTGAATGCTTATTCGTCGGGGATCAGGCTCAGCTACTACCTCACCAAGTTTTCTTTTAACCTCTTGTGTTTTCTAAGATCACCTTACTGAGGTGACCAGAGTCTAAAAGTTCATTCATGAATTACGTTCTGAAAGTTTCATATAAATCTTTTCTGAGGTTCACAAGATATTCAGCTGATGATACAGAAAAACCAACACACACTCAGACCTGGGCCTTCGGCTGTGGGTGATAAAAAGCTAAATGCTGCAGGTAAAATGTGCCTACATGTTTCTGTCACACCACATTGTACCGATTCATACTCACCCTGCAGAGTCTGGCTCGGTTTCAGATCCTGTTCTTGAGTCCTGAATTGGGGCAAACAAATTCTCTTAACGTTCAGCTGATCTTCAGTTGATCTAACGTGGATCTAAAGAAGAGCGTTTTATTCTGAAAGTTCGGTGGTTTGGGACTAAAAGAAAGTTTTACCTGTTCTCATCTGTCATCGTGCTCGTCTCTTTCTTTCCTTTCCTTGACAGCGTCCTCTTAAAGGTTTGAAGGACGCCTCCTTTTTCAGTCTCATGACGGTTTTCCTGTTCAGAAATGATCACACATGAAGCTTTAGTGAAAAGAACTCTAGGCGCTGGTCAGACAGCGTGCGACTGTTAGTTTGAACAAGCGGTACGCCAGTGTCCCCGGTTGCTGAGGGATTGGAACAGTGAATGTTTGTAGTTTTTGAGATGAGTGTTTTTCTGGATTAGAATTGAACAGGGAATGAAGGTAAACTTAAAAGTTTTTGGTGTAAGATATTCAAGTGGGTAGAAGTTACACTGTGGAGAACAGGGGGAAGTTTTTTGTTTGTTTGTTTGTCCGAGGCAGCGCAGAGAGACGGATCCTGGCAAGTGCAGGGAGCAATTTCATCCACGACCAGGAACAACAGAGGAGCCAGAGGGTGACCAATGGTGGTCAAGGCCACCAAAGAATAATATATGGTGGCCAATGGTGGCTAAGACCACCACTGGCAACCATAGCATAATCTGTGGTGGTCTTGGACACCATAGATTACTTTATGGTGGCCAAGACCACAATTGGCTACCATAAACTAATCTAACGTGGCCAAGATGACCATTGGCCACCATAGAATAATCTGTGGTGGTCTTGGCCACCATAGATTATTTTGTGGTGGCCAAGACCACCATTGGCCACCATATGTTATTCTTCGGCCACCCCAATCGTTTGAAGAAACTATATTATTAAAAACTAGAAATCATGGTTTGCTCAAATGATGTGGGTTGGATGCTAACATCAATATATGGTGGTAGCCATCTTGGATTTTGATGTGGCAACCCAATTCATGATAGGGACCTTTCTTAGACCGACATTAGATTCAATTCAATACAATTCATTTTATTTGTAAATTACCGATTTTATTTGTATAGTACCAAGTGACAACAGAAGTCTTCTCATGGAACTGAACAGAAACATTCACATTCATAAAAGTCAATTAGTAACACTATTTATGTAAGGAAGGTATGCAGCCCCACACCAAGATGAAAGTTGGCACGTTGCCTGTTTTACAAGTTATCCAGCTCACACGTCAACTTATAAGCATATATGATGGCAGCCATCTTGGATTGTAATGTGGCAACCCAGTTTTCAAAATGAAAATTTCTTGCTCCTAAACGCAGTAACACACCAAAACTAAAGACACTACCTCACTTATTTTTCAAGTCATCATGCTCACAACATGGACGGACGTTATTTCCATTGACCCCTCTTCGCTGTGCGAGGGCGGTCAAATAAAAGTATAAAGTTAGAGGCTCACCTCCAAAGTGTCCCCGTCTTTCTTCAGAACAAAGTGTCCTTCTCGGCTGTCCGACTTCCAGTTTAACTGGACAATCAAAGGTTTCTCATCTTGGTTCAGTTTACGCTCTTATTCCACAAACAAAATAAACAAACAAGATTATTAATGAGTTATCGTCCAACACAAAACTGTGGACCCCACCTGTAACAGCTGAGGTCGTCTGATAAAATAACATGATGGACTCAGCGGTGAAACATTCATGTTTGTATTCTATTTTTTATACTTTTTACTCTACTTTTGCACATTTTGTACTATTTTCACAATTTATGTAGGACAGTTTTTCCATTCAAGAGAAACTCTTCATTGGTGTCATGCACCTTTTAGTTTTTTGTGACTTTTTGAATTATTTAACTTTATTTGAAATAAAATTTCCCATAAAACACAATAGGATCTTTTCAGTTTCTGTAACACTTTGTTCTCTTTAAAATTTGCTTGCTTTGGATTTGCATTTGTTTGCTACAATTAACCTTTAGCTACTGTTCTGCAATGTTTAGCTTTTAGCAACAGATTTGGTAACTTTACATTTTAGCTGCTGTTTTGCTAATACTAGCTGGAGCTGCAACACATCGAACAGGCATCAGAAGATAAGGGACAGTGTTATCAGGGAGTTGCTGAGCAATCAACGTCAATTAACTTGTCGTCCGTTTGGCCCGAGATGGGACTCGTTACATTTACAGTCACGACTTTTTAAAACGTGCATTTTAGTTAAAGTGATCGTACACTGATAAATAAAATACTGTTTTATTGTTAAGTAATTATAAGGCATAAAAACAAGTGTTGCATCATGTGATGTGAATGATTCTCAGCTACTACCACACCATACTATACCTCAGTATCTGTAAAATTGATTAAATGTAGCCATTTTTTATTTAATAGGTGTAACAGAGTTAAGAATGTACTCTGAAATATTACTCTACTGTGTAGTAATAATAATAATAATTGTGAATTTTATCTCATTGAGGTCTTTTATTTTGAAATGAGTCAAAGGCGGAAATGATGTAATACAATTTGTCCCGGTAACTTCCTCTCCCTCACTTTGCCGCCATGCAGTGCGAGGGTAAGTAGTATAAAAATGTTGTTGGCGGTTTTTTCTTTTTCTTTGACTTAAAAAATGTTGCTATTTAAGTTATAATTTTTTTGTATGCTGGTTGATATAAATTTTACAATGTTATTTTGGATTTTATTTTTAATTTTGACCACAAAAGGAGGAAAACAACCCAAGTTTCATAGACGTTTTATTGTCCCAGCTGAAAGCTAGTTTGGCTCCATTTTCTGTTTAGTGCGCCCTCTTGTGGTCGGTGGCTGTAATGGCGCTGCAGTGATTGCTGCAGAACACAAATGTTTGGTTTATTGTCTTCTGCAGGGAGAAAATGAACAGTGAAGAAACAGTATTTGGATGCTCAGTCATTTGAAGAAAATAAGCATCGTTACATAGGATCAATTAGCTAGGGCGGCCATCTTAAATTGGGGCGACTCCCCAAAGTGAATGTGTTGTGCTTACTTCATGAGTGTTTCGTAAAAACTGTTTAATGGTTCATGAGACGTTTTGATAACGGGCACCTTACCTTCAGTGGAGTGGATCTCATGAAGAGAAAATCCCGTCGACAGCATTTTCAGGTCGGGCCTGAACTTCTCCGACAGAGTTTCAACAATCTCTCGACTTGGAGCGTTGCTGGAAACACGCAGACACTTTGTGGCCACGTTTCCCTTCAAGGGATCCTCAAAGTAGAAACGGATGACGCCATGAAACTCCAGGTTCTGAAAAGGAGGGGGAGATTTTTAAAGCATCACTTGTTCTGTGTACGTTTGTGCTAATGTAGCATTCATGCTATCGTTAGCCTGTTTGTCTTTACTTTTCCTGCCTCGGACAATTAAAATAAAAAAAACTACCTCTGTTCTTCCACAGTGTGACTCCTACCCACTTAAATATCCATGATCTTTACCTTCTGGGGTAGCTCAGTGGTCAGTAATCTTGAGGTTGCGGGTTCAAGCCCAGGTTGTGTCAGGCAGAACGTCCGGCTTAAAACAAATTGCCAAATCATTCATGTGAGTTTGTTCGCTGTGGCAACGCCTGAAGAAGGGAGCAGCCAAAAGAACCCCTCATAATCTCCATCTTCTTCCTTTTCATGTGGTGGGGGCGTCACTGGTGCCCACATCCAGCACATTAAGGTTTACTTACATTCTCTTCAGTTCCAGTCCATAAAAACTTCACCACTTGCTCTTGCTGAGATCGGATGCTTCCCTCCCTCTCCGCTTTGCTGCTCTGTCTGTGAAACTGCTTCTGAGACTCTCTTCATTTCTTCCGAACTATAATTATGGATTCTTTTGACCAGTTGGTCCCTCAACTCAATTTACAACATTTCTTCAAGAGAAGACAGGCTTTAGGCTAGCCGATTTGCTCTGTTGGCACGCAGCTGGATTTCTCATCGACTTGGAAGACTTGATGTGTCTCTGCTGCCATTTGTGGATTTTAAGGACTCATATTTAATTGGATTTACGATAACTGGTTCCTGCTTTTTGGATTCGGCTGGTTGCTGGTTTTATCAATCAATCAAGGAAGTCGTCGCAGCAAATTTGGACCTGATCACGCTGCTTGCCTTTTTGATGGCTTGGTTCGTGTCTCGAGTACCCAGACTCAAATGCTTTGGGCTGAATGGATCAGATCTTGGGGATTTTACTCAGTCACGTTCCATCGGTGTGGTCATGTATTTTTACATTTCTGAACCGAGTGGACCAACACAGACTCAAGTTAGATGTCATTAAGTTCTGCCTGTCCCCAAAACAACTGTTTATCTGAATTTGGCTCCCTGGCTGGCCTTGAAGGCCATCTTATCTGAATTCACCTGGAGAACATGTGGGCTGATGCTCACCACCCCCTTCCTGAGGAATTTCCAACTGATAACCAGATGAAACCAGCTGAATAAACTCTGTGTCATCATTTCAGGACTCTTGGGTTCTCATAGTCGTTATTCTTGGCCATTCCTCGACATCCCTCGAGAATGTTTACGGATCTCACCGGAGGACATTGACTGATTATTACATCCTTATCAGAACTCTTACAGTGACCTCGAGAGCATCTATGATCATGCTCACTGCTCTCGTCCTCCCCCCTCTGCAGAATGTCTACGTCACTATGTGCTTGTTTGTGCGAGGTGTTTTTTTATCAGAGTTTTTTCTTCTCAGGCAGGAAAAAAAAAAGTCTGACAGGAATTTTTTCGCCTCCAACTCCTACATGTGTCCAGTTTCACTACTTTGTGTCTGTCCAAACAGATCTCACTTGTAAATGAGTCTTCTAGGCTCAATGTGACTTATCTGTCTAAGGTTGAATGAAAAAAAAACACTCATCTTTAAAACTACAAACATTTCCTATTTAAACCCCTCAACGATGGAGGGACATCACTTTACATGATCCAAAAACAGATGAAAAAGTTTCACCAGCGCTTGTTTCACGTAGATTTTTTTTTTTAGGCTCATCTTTCAGTCACTGTTCTGTCTCTCGTTAATTTTATTAAAGTTAACACATCAAAGTGTAAACTTCTTTCTGGCTGTTGTTTATTGCCATAATAATTCTGGTTTAATGTTTGGTTGCAGCTGAATGTTGCTCGTCAACATCGATGCGTTCAACACGTTCTGGTTCTGACAGTTTGTCTGTGACGGACTCACCTCGTCAGGTTGGCTGATCTCAAACAGGTCCAGTCTGGAGCTGTTCCACTGCCGGATGACTTTAGATAACTTCTCTCGTTCCTCCGACATCTTTAAGTCCTCAGAGTTCTGACTCGGTCTGGAACTCGTCCTCAGAAGGCCAGACAGGAGAAAACAGAACGACAGAACAGTTCTTCGACCGTCACACCGTTTGATGGAAACTCGTCAGCGATGGTAGATGGTGAGAAATGAGTTCCTCCCCTCTGAGCCCCCTCTGAGCCCCCGCCACCCTCTGCCCTCATTTCACAGGTCAGTGGCACTTTGGTAAATGAGGCAAACTAATAAGTCTGACAGAGAAAGACAAAGGAACATTTTCTGCTGGTTCCCATTTCTTCACGTGCAACGCCACATTGGATACGATGCAGCAAGAAGCCTCGGACACGTCATCGCGCTCCTCGTGTTGTCTGAAGTTTTATTCTCGTTTTCTCAACGACACGGATGTGTCAACTGACTCGGCTTCTCGTGCATGCCGGTCATTTCTGCACAGTTTACACGTCTCCCCATTCATTCTGCTTCATGTATGTGGGGCAGCTTTTGTTGGCTGCGCCTGTTTTCAGGATGAAGCTGCGTTGGAACAAAAGCTTCAACAACAAGTAGCTCTACAGCAAATAAAACAATAAATTATTGTTGTCTGGATGTTGAATCATACAGAGATTTAAATTGTTGTTTTTAATTAAACTCAGACAAGATAGAAGATGTGGCTTTTGGAGCATCTTATCAAAGTTGGTCCAAAACGGCTATAACTCACTTTACATCACAATTTGATTTTATTATAAAGCTCTGGTTTTAAAGGTGGCGGGTAATATTTCTTCAGGGAATGCTTGACCTTCATTTCTTGGTCATGCTTTCACTGGATGTGTTTTCTTCACTGATCTGCACAAACATGCTGTCTGCTGCACATTAAACATATTTCAACAAACCATCATGCAGCAGTCTAACGGTCCAGATAAGCAAAGATGACCTTGGATTGTGACCTTGACCTTGGAACTAGTGTGATGAAGTGTATGCGACACGCAGTCTAATGATGATGTATATGTGTACAAAGTTTTCTTAAGCAAATCAAAAGCAATGACGCAGACAAGCAAACCCTTGTAAAGATTTGACCTTGATTTGTGACCTTAACGTTGAAGCTGGGATGATGAACAGTGTAAATGACATTCGTCTGGTAATGATGCATGAATATAGAACATTTCATAAAGTTATCTCCAACAGATCAGAAGGTATGGTTGGGACATGAGGTTTCTGGATGAACAGATAAGACGTCGTGCCTTTTGACAGACGTAGAATGAAACGATTTCTGTTCCTCAGACTGATAAATGTAGACTGCAGCTATATAGATTACTACAAGAAGATCACCCCCCCAACCCTATCAACATCAAGGGAACTGATGTGGACACTACACATACCTGGGGGTCCACCTAGAGAATAAACTGGACTGGACAAGAAGGGGCAGAGCCGTCTTTTTCTTTTGAGGAGACTCAAATCCTTTAGCCTCTGCAGGACCATGCTGCAGATGTTTTACCACTCGATGGTTGTTGCAGTACCATGCTGCAGATGTTTCACCACTCGATGGTTGTTGCAGGACCATGCTGCAGATGTTTCACCACTCGGTGGTTGTTGCAGGACCATGCTGCAGATGTTTTACCACTCGATGGTTGTTGCAGTACCATGCTGCAGATGTTT